CTCTCTCTCTCTCTCTCTCTCTCTCTCTCTCTCTCTCTCTCTCTCTCTCTCTCTCTCTCTCTCTCTCTCTCTCTTTTCTGTGTTCACTATCTGTCCACAGATGGTTGCTATCCTCCATTCATTATCATCTTCTTTTTCATCTCCATGGAAAACAGATTTACATTCTTTCCCCACAGCATTATCATCTTCTTTTTCATCTCCATGGAAAACAGATTTACATTCTTCCCCCACAGCAGACCCTGTCGCCTGTCTCGTCACAGTCACTCCCAATCCCTTCTTCTTCTTCTTCTTCTTCTTCTTCTTCTTCAGGAACTGATTTTGCTGCGTCTGCCCAGAGATGGCTGCTGTTGTACAATTTCCTCTCGCTTTGTTGTTCTATCCCCATCAATTCCAGTTTGCAAAACAGACCCTGCCACCTGTCAGATCCCCTGCAACAGACCTTGTCTCTTGCCACGGCCACATGCATGGACTCCTGTCGTCTTCAGTAACAGACCACGATGCCCTCCGGAGTATAGCCATCGCTGTGCCGATGCACTTCTTCTTCTCCTTCTTCATCTGCGACAGACTCTGTCGGATAACGTTCCTAACAGCAGCAACCATTGTCCGGTAGCATCGGCCGTTACAGCATTCATCGCATGAGCAAATCCCTGCCCCCTTTCGGTGGAGCTGCTTGCCCAGGAAGATCACCCCTTGTCATCACACATCCCAGACGCCCGCAGGGTTCTCTAACCCCCTTTGCTCGTGTCCGTCACATGTCGCTAGTCAGACCCCTCCTGACGTCAAGAGGGGGCTGACGACAGACAACAGGAGCTGTGATAAGGTGGCACCGACAATCGCAGCAATCGCATGCCGGGCAAAACCCAGAGGTTTTCTGTGCGGCTCTTCTGAAGGAAGACCTCTGTCCCGCAACGACGTTAATCGCCGCAGAATTTGGCAGGACAGCGAGGCGTACGTCAGTCACAGCCTTGGCGGTGATCGGCACTTTGGTCGTAGAACAGTGACAAATTGCCGCGTCATACGTCAGTGACAACCTTGACGGTGATCGACGCTTTGGTCGTACGTCAGCGCCCCTGACGCTAGAGCAACAGCGATACGTACGTCAGCATCCCTGACCAGTGGTTTGGAAGGAACCGCCGAACGACGAAAGAACGGAAGCCCCGCAAGCACGCACGACATCGCTAGAGGAAAGTTCAGGGAAGGTTCCTTCAAGCTCCCATAGCAGATTCCCACCCCACCATCTGTGTGAATGAATGTGGTCATGCATTCATTCCAGGGGGGCAGGGGGATGTGCACGTGCCTATGTGCAGTCCCAAGGACTGTTGTTGGCCTTCCACTCCATATTAGGCACAGCTCCAAATGGAAAGTTGGTGTCTGAAGGAGAACAGCCGAAGAGGGACATGAGGGAGGCGTGTCCACGGGGAAGAAGTCTGTGCACACCACCCAGCTTGCCGGGCACATTCAAACGAAAAAAAAGAACAAAAATAATTTTAAAAATCAGGCTCTTTATGACTACTAGACATCAATTTGCACCCACCGCGCAAGGGCAGATGACGACAGACAGATGCTGCGCTGTCATCGTTGGACGAGTCAGAAAGAGCACCAACCACGTAGCGTAGTATGGACTTTCACTAGTCCATCATGATTGGCCATTGTTAACGAAAACAGAACGAAAAACGGGTGCAAATTGAAATGGGGTGTCCGTCGAAAGCCCCATTTTAGACGCGTGATAGAGCCCCAACGACTTACGCGCTTCCTTTCTTCCGATCGTGGAACGATCACTCTGTCACGCAGCTGCTGTGGCCGGATTGCCTGCCAACTCGATAGGCCGGCAGGCGCAAAAACAAAAGAAAATCCTAAAAGAGAGAATCCTGCGAAGACGCCGAAGAGAGAAATCCATTACATGGTAGACGGGTGCGCAAGCGACATCCAGGTCGCAACTCTCTGGTAAAAAAGGACATCAAAATCAGGGACAAAATCCAGGTCAAAGTTGAGGTCTAAGGTTGAAAAATCCACGTGTAAATCGACATGAGAATTGAGGTCAGCGTCAAGGTGAAAATCGGCATCGAAATCGGAATTGCCATCCTTGATCGAGGAAATTTATGTCAAAAAAAACGACCATTGTGGAAATTTATGTTAAAAAAAATCGACATCACAAAACCGATGTCGACTCCACAATCCCAACGGTTGACGGTCACATTAACATGGTTGACATTGACATCTCGAGGTCTACTTTTTTTTGAGGTCTCAACGGTTCAATCTAGGTCAAACTCGACGTTAACGTCAAGGTAAAAAAAAAAAAAAAAAAAAAAAAAAAAAAAAAAAAAAAAAAAAAACCATCGTCAAGATCAAGGATGAGATCTCGAGGTCAAAATGGACGTCAACGTTGAGGTCCTGATGCTTAAGTCTACGTCAAACTGAAGGTTAACATAAGGTCAATGATGAGACCTCAGGGTCAAGATCAAGGGCAATGTCGAGGTCTCAAGGTCAAAATCAAGTCCACACAAAGTCAAACTGGAGGTTCAAAGCGAGATTTAAAAAAAAAAAACAGGATTACCTGGGCTAGAGATTGGGATCCACCCTTGCGGAAAAATTATGGACTGAATGGGTCAAAATTGCAGTCAAATTGAGCTCAAAATTGGGCTCAAAATTGGGATCAAATTGGGCTCCAAATTCGGGATTGGGCTCCAAATTGGGCTCAAATTAGGCTAAAAAAAATGGGGTCACGTTCACAGCCTAAATAGAATTGGCAGGACCAGTCCTCAGAGACAAATCTGGGTCAAAATTGGCTCAGCGGCACAGATGTGTCTCATATTATGACTGTGGTAGTTGTCAGATAGACGACTGTCAGAACTGTCAGATGACAGACTGCACTCTTTCTCAAGTGAAGCGATTAGCCCGAGAGGAAAGAAAAACACTCGATAAGCAAGTGCCTCACAGGCAAACCCACACACACACACACGTAACCAATCAGAGCACTTGGACACGGTCTCTGCGCTTCTTACCCATTCCTTATCAGCAAGTTTCCACCCAAGAGAGTGGCCTCTCTCTCTCTCTCTCTCTCTCTCTCTCTCTCTCTCTCTCTCTCTCTCTCTCTCTCTCTCTCTCTCCCCCCCCCTCTCTCTCTCTCTCTCACACACACACACACACACCAACACACACACACAACACACACACACACACACACACACTCTTCTCTCTTCTGAGTGCTTGTAGGACTTTGTCGACGATCTTATGACGAAAGAGTTAAGTAAAAGGACATTGCACAGCGCACCATCTGCTTTACTTCCGTCAAACCTCAAGCCGCAGTCCTCTCTCTCTCTCTCTCTCTCTCTCTCTCTCTCTCTCTCTCTCTCTCTCTCTCTCTCNCTCTCTCTCTCTCTCTCTCTCTCTCTCTCTCTCTCTCTCTCTCTCTCTCTCTCTCTCTCTCTCTCTCTCTCTCTCTCTCTCTCTAGCCCAATCCGTCTCCAAATCTATCTCCAGCTATCTAGTCATCTTCTGTTTTTTTTTTTTTCCCCACCCTATCTTCCTGCCTGTCTGCTTGCCTACCTACCTACCTCCATTGTCTACCCCGTCTAAGGATCACATTAACAACTCATAGACCATTAGACCATTAGACCGGCTGTGACAATAGATGGTCTACGCTCCCTGCCTGCCTCAATGGCCCCTGTGCCTTGTGCCTGCCGGTGCTCCTGAGGAGGAAGACGAGGGAGGTGGAAGGGAGGGGGTGTTTGGAGTGCCTCGCCAGCTGCCTGGCCCACGCTGACCTTGCAGTGATGAGCGAACGGGCGACAGGGGTTTGGGCTTCACCGTACAGCCCGCCCACGATGCCAAGTAGTTTGTCCTGTCAATCACCACAACGCAGTCGGATGCTCGGTCGCCGATGAAGAAAAAATTCTCGTTGGCGGCAATGCTGACCGGTTTCTTGAATGTGAGCCGCCATAGCTTCTTCACGACCAATTTCTCCGGGTCGCTGACGTCCAGCTCAATCATTCTGGGATAAGGGGAGTACCCTACAGCGTATGCGCGCTGACCGACAACGGCGATGGAGTAGTATTCCTGCGGAATGGTCTCTACGTCGGTCAGCAGAAGGCAATCCAACGGATCGGAGACGTTGACGGACGACACGCCCTCCCCGTGAGCTGTAAACAGCACCTTTCCGTCTTCGGAAAGGGCGCTTTCCATGGGGAAGACAAGGGGGGGCATCCCCGACCCCAGAGGAGCGGGGGCATTGGGGACTTGGATGGGTTGGATCAATGTCGGATTGCTCAAGGGCACAATCATGACACCATAGCCAACCCCCATACCCATGGCTGGGTCGAGCTCGCCCTTCACGTACGCCACCCGCCCGTCGTTGGACAGAAGCACGCGGTCCTGCGACTTGCCAATGCGAAAACTTTTGACAGGCCTTCCGCCCGTAATTGCTCCGGTCGACCTGTCGTACCTCCAAACTGTTAAATTTGACTCTCCTCCGGCCACGATGACCGTCCCGGCCTTTCCGCAGATGGCCCCATACGGGCCCGCAGGGACCGGCAGAGGCGTCCCAATGACGGCGGGTGCCATGGGATCGGCTAGGGACAGCACGGTGAACCCGCTCATCGACTCTGTGCCGTTCACCGACCCACCCAGCGAGAGAACAAACAGGAAACGACCCGACGGCTCCAAGAAGATGTCGTACACCTGCCCAAGGCCTACGGGCGGTGGCATCACCTCGTAATCACTGCGTCGGTTGATTGGGAACATCAGCAACCCCTTTTTGCCGCGGGCGGCATAGCAGTGAGTCCTGGAAATGGCGACACGTGTTGTTGCCCCCACACCACACATGGACGGCGCAACGACCACAGCCATGACAAGGCCCATCAGAAAGAAGAGCCTCCTCTTCATCCATAGGTTGTTCTCCCTCTTTTGAAAGAAGACCGTAGCCCACACAGAAGTGCCCGCCATCGTCGTCATAGGCGCCTCTTCTTTGTCTTTCCCTCCTCTACACTTCCTGAAGCAAATGCCACGTCAGACAGATGCCACCTCATACTGATGAGGGAACAAGAACAAAGACAATACTCAGATTTTTATTTTTTTATTTTCTTAATAATGGCCCACAACAACACAAAGTGAAGAGGAAGGAGTTCAGCTGTGAGAATTGCGAATGCTCAAACAGTATTTTCGTCTTTTCTTTTTTTTTCGTTTTTTTTGTTCTTTTTGCCTTTTCTTTGTGCCTGCCGAACCACCATCAAGCAAATAAATTATAGAATACATGGAAATTGCCACGTCAGACAGATCTCACCTCGTACTGATCCCACGCCAGACTGACTTGTCATGTCCAACCAACTGATGCCACGTCAGACATCATGATGACACGTCAGACACAGGTCAGTTAAACAGGTGGTTGCAGGTGCATAACATTGAGGACATACTCGCACTAGGACTTTTTAACGTAATTATTATGAACGTAAACGCGATCAGATGCATCCAGGGGCGGACATAAATGCGGTCAGATACATTTCACATAGACCTAGTGTGAGTACGCCCTGATTGAAGCTGTTGATTTGCTGTTCGAAAGTGATTTGTTGCCTTCGTCATTGCTCTTCTCTATTTCGTTTCTAATCTATTTCGTTGCTAATATGCTACCAGAGTGGCCCGGGATCACTTGCCCGGCTGGGCCAAAAAAAAAAAAAAAAAAAAAAAAAATCAAATTTATGTTTTATTTTAAATTTGGTGAAGAATTTCGATGTGACCCTGAGGCCAAAGCTGTTCATGTTATTTTCGGCATAACATAGTTTTTTTTTTCAGATTTTTTTTTTTTTTTTTTTTCCCTTTGCTGGGACCTTCTTTGGTCGTTGCATGGCCCGGCCGCCCCCGGGCAAACAAAGGTGACCCGTGCGGCCCGGATGGTAGCTTAGGTCTCTGTCTTTGTTTCACGAACATGTTTCTTCAGTCGCCAAGGGGGGAGGAGGTGGGGGGGAGGGAGGAGGTCCCTGTAGCAAAGACTGGGATTCATCTCCTGAATGCAGAGATGCGGAAAAGCAGGTCAATCCCGATTTTCTGCACCTGTCCACAAAGACGTCCCCATTCAGCCGTTCAATCCAATCCTCTCGGCTACTAGTAGTGGGACTTCGCCCCGCGACACATCCGTTAAAATTGGAACGATACAGATAGGATAATCATTACCATCGAAAAAGGAAAAAAAAAAAAAAAAAAAAAAAAAAAAAAAAAANAAAAAAAAAAAAAAAAAAAAAACAACCATCTTGCTTCATCCCCCTAACCAACTCCTCCACTCATCTAGCCATCATGCTTCCCCAGCTGCTACACCCACCAAACTGTCTAAACACACACTCCAGACCAGATTACGGAATCAAGTTCGAATCCAGACCAGATACAGAATCAAGTTCGAATCCAGACCAGATCGAATCCAGACCAGATACAGAATCAAGTTCGAATCCAGACCAGATACAGACTCAAGTTCGAATCCAGACCAGATACAGAATCAAGTTGGAATCCAGACCAGATACAGAATACAGTTCGAATCCAGACCAGATACAGACTCAAGTTGGAATCCAGACCGGATACAGAATACAGTTCGAATCCAGACCAGATACAGACTCAAGTTCAAATCCAGACCAGATACAGACTCAAGTTCGAATCCAGACCAGATACAGACTCAAGTTCGAATCCAGACCAGAAACAATCAGATGCTGCCCAGACTCAAGTTCGAATCCAGACCAGATACATTCAGATGCTGCCCAGAATAACACAATTCTGAATTACCTGGGGCCGGTCAGCTTCAACGATGAAACCTTAAGGTCGTCGCCTTTTCGAAGAATTATTAGGGGAAAAAAAAAAACAGAGAGAGAAACTGTTTTATGTTAAAAAAACGTAGTACCTCAGTATAATTATTAGGGGGTAAGCTGGGCAAGGGGATGACACATGGAGTGATCTCCGTGTTGTTTAAGAAGGGAGACAAATCGGAGGTACGAAACTGGAGGCCTATATCGCTCTTGAACGTTTCATACAAGTTGCTAGCGAAGACACTAGCTTGTAGGCTGGCGAGGTACTTACCGGAGTTGGTGAGAAGGGATCAGGGCACATTTGTCCAGGGCAGGTCGATCTTCAACAACTTCGGCACAGCCATCGAGACGCTGGAGGTGGTGCAGAAAGAGAATCTGGATATGGCGATCCTCCTCCTAGACTTGGAGAAGGCTATGACAAAGTGGGGTGGTCCTTCGTTCTCACCACGCTGCGGAGGATGGGTTTCGGTAAAGGCTTCTGCGCCTGGATTATCGCAATGTACACATACTCCACGTCGTCAGTGATGATCAATGGTCACGTGTCGGAGCCTTTCCCACTCTCGAGGTCCCTGAGACAGGGATGCCCGCTGGCTCCCCTAGTCTTCGTTCTTCAACTGGAGGTGCTGCTGAACAGGATCCGTAAGCACCCGAATATTCGTGGCCTGCGACTGCATACGGGAGAAGACTGCAAAGTGAAGGCTTTAGCGGACGACCTTTTCGCAGTGAGCGAAAACTCAGTGTCGTCCTTGGCGGCGCTGAAAGGAGTCATGCTGGAGTATTCAGAACTGTCCGAGGCGTCAGTCAACTGGAATAAATCTGTGTTCCGCCTTCCGGCGCAGTTTGTACTAAGAGTAGAATGGGGCATGAGGAGAGTGGAGTTGGGAGAGGAAGAGAGATTTCTGGGAGTACTCATCAGCCTTCAGTTCGAATCCACGACACAGGGCTTACTCCTGCAGCAACGCATGGAAGCAAGGCTCAAAACATTGCAGAGCGGATTCTGATGGCAGAATGGGGACTAAGCAGGGCGCAGGACGTCTGGGACTGCTTCTTTATCCCGTCCTTCCGCAAGAAAAGGATCAAGTCCAGATTCTGGGAGCCAATCAGGAAAGCATGGAATCGTCTCCCACCGGATCTGCAAAGCCCCCCCCGCACGAAGGACGAGTGCTGAAGCAGCTGCTGTTCGAGAATCCGGAGGTAAAAGACAAAAGACATCCTTTCAAAGCCGACGGGTCCACAGGCTCCTTTGGCCAAACTTGGGTCAAGCGGGGCATAGTCCGAATTTCGGATCTATGGTCTAAGTTGCTGGGAAGCTGGAAGACCCTGGAGGACATCAAGCAACCGCTCAGAGGCTTGCAGAGGGTGGAGGATAATTGGAGGAACTTAATACAAGGCATACCACAAGAACGGCGTTTGCTACTGGGACCAGAGGGTGTGGATCCGGAAGACACCTGGTACGTCCCAGACCACGTGGAAGAACCAAATGTGCTGTGGAAAGTTCGCGAAATTCTTCCCAGCGGCTTCAGACGCATCGAACGATGGCGCTGCGAAGGCCCTGCAAACGTCCTGATTCTGGTGGAGCAAGACACAGTATTTAGCTGGAACAACCCAGCACAGGCAAGAGTTCTGGAAGTGCGTGGTAAAAGACCCTCGGCTCTGACCCTCACTTGGGTAGGAAGGCTGCCGATAAACCAGCTGTGTGTGGACCCTTCAGCGTGGAGAGTCAGGTGGGGAGACAGCTCTGAGCATCGGAGAATACTCGGTCTCCCAGGGGTACCGGCAGCTATCACGGAAGCTAAAGTCTCCAGCGCAAGTAGCAATTCCACGTTGGCAGGCAGTTCGGGACGAAGACCTGTCGGGCGCAGAGGTAGAGTTCGAGAGGCTGTGGGAAAGCCTAGCAAATCTCCCGAATGGAAAGCAGGTCACTATTCTTGGGATGCTCTCCCTTCTGGTTTCCCCCTCAGCAGTCTGGTTGCTGAGCAGGGGAATGGTTGTAAGCCTTGCGTGCACAAGATGTAGGTGGCCATTCGAGTCCACCAGACATCTGTGGTGGGAATGTCCAGCCTCTAAACGTATCTGGATCTGGTGGCAACACCATTGGAAGGCGTGTGGCGGTTCAGGAGTGGAATGGTCGGAAAAATGGGTGCTTCTGGGGTTCCTCCCGTCACTCATGGAAGGGCACCGCAGCTGGGGTTATGTCACCCATGTGGTTCGAGGCCTGATCTGCGAAACAATTTGGAGAGACAGAAATAGGTCGAGATTCGAGAGACGTCCTTTCTCGGATTTGGAGGTGAAGGGGCACATCAAACAGGGTCTGAAACAAGCTATTCGGGCGGACTGGAGACGCAGAGCCAAGGCAGGAAAAGGGAGCAGGAGCCAACTCCGCTGGTTCCGGCACACCTGGGCGAGGAGCAATCAGTTAGTATGGATTCACCCAAGGGAGGGTCTGATCTTCTCAGATTGGGTCCTCAACAAGTCACCCGTGCGGAGTCACCACCAGGGTGGGGCGGTAGGTTAGAGAACGGTCACGGGACAGCACGGGACCGTGAGTCCTGCACCAGGGCACTCGGTGCAGTAGGGTCGAAGTAGACCGTTAGGAGAGTGTCAGTAGGACCGGATGCCGTCCTCTGGGCTGTGTTAGTCCCGGACTTAGTAAGTAGGTAGTTGTTGAGGAGTGATGTCAACAGCCTGTTTCAAAGCCCTTAAATGAAAGTAATTGGAAAGTTATTTCATGAAATTGGTAAATAAGCAATGGATAGGTTCCTGTGGTACCTTCACAGAGTTTAGTAGTTCAGGTAAGATTTCGGTAAGTATAGTACAGAAGGTTTCTCAGGCAAGAGCCTGTAAGGTAAGCTGGCTGATGCTGTCAGCATTTTCCGGGTTGAATTGTGAGGTCCCCGGCCTCGATTGCCATTTATAAATGAAGTGAAGTTGAGTTAAAAAAACAATAATAATAAAAAAAAATAAAAAAATAAAAAAACGATTAAACGGTGCAGACTCGGTGAAGGCTCAGTGTACATTCGGTGAAGGTTCGGTCAAGGCTTCAGTGACACTTCCGTGACAACAGTCGGTTGATGATTATCTAGTTTTTTTTTTTTTTTTTTTTTTTTCTTTCTGCAGGCAAGCGAAGGACCAGGGGGACAGTTGGAACCCTCACAGAGTTCGTGAAGGTTCGGTGAAGGTTCGGTGAAGGCCTCCTACTCTCCTACACCACACAACTCCTCTCCATCCTCTCCCTCCATCCTCTCCCTCCTCCTTCCCTCCTCCTCCATCCTCTCCCTCCATCCTCTCCCTCCTCCTTCCCTCCTCCTCCCTCCTCTCCCTCGCCTCCTACTCTCCTACACACAACTTCTTCGCTTCTCACTACTCCTCCCCTCCTCCTCCCCTCCTCCTCCCCTCCCTCCTCCTTCCCTCCGACTCCCTCCTCTCCCTCCATTCTTCCTCCCTCCTGCTGAAGATCCATACACTTCCAGTTTCAGCCTTCTCAATATGATTCGGTCAAAAAAAACTCCGACGGATCAGTGTGTCACAGCTCTCTGCCTACGCTTCTTGTCCTTTTCTCCCTTTCTCCCCTTCTCCCTTTCTCCCTGCCTAAGGTTCATTCACCACCCACTTCTCTATCACTACTCTCTCTCTCTCTCTCTCTCTCTCTCTCTCTCTCTCTCTCTCTCTCTCTCTCTCTCTCTCTCTCTGCCCTACGGTTCACTCACCGGGCAGTTCAGGATCACCATCTATCTATCTACCTATCTATCTATCTCTCTCTCTATCGATCGATCTATATATATATATATATCGTCAAATAGAATATATATATATATATATCGTCAAATATACCGCCAAACAGAGCAGCCTACGGGTAAACCGTAGGCAGAGAGGGAGACAGGGACAACAAACGAGGGGCTGTGACAGACTCTTTGGTCGGAATGTATATATATATGAAACTCCGACGAAACAGTTTGTCACAGCCCCTCGTTTGTTGTCCTCTTCTCTCTCTTTGCCTACGGTTTACCGGGCAGTTCTGTATATATCGTCACAAACAGAACTGCCCGGTAAACCGTAGGCAAAGAGAGAGAAGAGGACAACAAACGAGGGGCTGTGACAAACTGTTTCGTCAGAGTTTCACCGACTCATCAGGAGGCTGAACCCTCAACAGTCTGCAGAATCCCCTCACTGATTACACTGTAAATGATAATCTACCTTAACCAAAATC